TGTAGAAAAGACAAAAAATATGTATCATCAAACATCCATGGGTATAATCTGCTTTATAGTATGTAATTTTTTAACATCTTAATTTGTCTAAGATTGTTTTTAGATAATTGATTTTGTTCCTTGTACATGTATCTTTGACTTAATTCATTTTGTATTATTACTTTGATTTTAATGTTATGTGTCTCTCTTCCTCTCTCTCTCTCTCTCTCTCTCTAATCTCTGTCTTTTGTATATTACCCATTCCTTCAAAATGGTAATGAAAATATTATATTATTTGAAATTTTTATTGATTTAGATGTGGCATTTGAAATGAGTAGGTTATTTCATATGCATTTAAACATTGATCTGGTAGACTTTGTCTAATGTCAGAAAACTTTAGGAAATTATTGTGACTAGGGCTTTGCTCTTCCACAAAAGTAAAATGAAAAATATTCAAGAAAGGCAGAGATTTTATAGTTTATATTATATGTTACTTTTTAAAAGAAAGTCTTACATTATTATCTGCTTTAGCAGTAACAGTTCAATTCATTTGCATGTGCATCACGATTATATTTTTAAAATTTAATGTATGCATTATATGTTGAAGTGGTTATTTTATAAGGGTCAACTCTGTTTGATTTTAAGATAAGAGGTAATATAAGATGCTATCTGGTGACAAAGTACCCTTTAACACCTTATACGTACTCAGGTCACTGCTTTGGGCATAGTATATGATTAATATTATAAATATATATAGTATGATATATATGTAACAGATACATACCTTCTGCATATATATTCCTTTTATTCTTTAATGTATATTAATTAATTAATATATAATTAATTAATATTTTGACTTTTAAGAGAGCTTCAGTAGTTAAATATGTGTATTGACACTTATTATGCTTAACTAAAAGGCATATACTTTTTTACTGAATTAACTTGCTTTAATATTGTGTGGATATTGGTTGAGAATATTTGTTGCTGCTGTTTTATTGGTTTAACAGGAGATTTCAAGTTCAAAGCATTATGCAAAATAATTAGAAAAAGTGAAGAAATTATTATAACTAATCTATATTAGATTTCTTTTAAAGCAGCATTCCCCAAACTTTTTGGCACCAGGGACCAGTTTCATGGAAGACAATTTTTCCACGAATGGGGGGATGGGGCGAGGCGGAGCTCAGGCAGTGATGTGAGAGACT